AAACGACAGGTGGGGACCAGAAACGCCCCATGGGACGTGCCTTTAAGCTGAACCTCCTCATGGCAGAGCGCAAGCCCCCACCTCCCCACAAACCCCGCCCATGACTCCTGCAGGCTCTCGGGTCAAAGTGAAAGTGAAACTTAACTGTCTGCTGAGCTCTCAACATGAGCTCTTTTCAGATTAAAAATACCTTTGAGGAAATGTATTTTCAGATGCCAAGTAAACTGCATCATGGCGCATGCACAACACCCCCCACCACACGCGCACGAGCCCCCGTGTGCGAACCCCCTCCCCCGGAACGGGACAGAACAGAAGCAGAAGGAGGTTCTTAAAGTGAAAGAGGCCAATTTCAAGGCATTTAGAAGAGGAAGTGATGAGAAGATAAGTTTATTTTCTATTTAAACATAAAAACAGCATTTTAACAACAACTAAAGGTGAATAGATACTTTATTATGGTATAGTATTTAAATATATGCCTGAGAAACACATAATATTGCCCCTTTAATATCTAAAAGCTTTTCCTGTTAAATTTAAATGTTAGCATTTTATTCTAATCACCTTCCTTTGTAGTCTGCCAGTGTTGAGCTAAAAAAAAAAATAAAAGCATGCAAGCCGCCCACTTTTGTCAAAATGTTATAGCGCTAAGTATAACACTTAGCTGGTGCAAATAAAATAAAAACTGTCCTAATCGATCAGCTGATGGTTAATAAACAGACCTGTGGCTCATCAGTATGACGTCTGGCTGCTGTTTGAACAGGTCGGACTGGGCGATCTGCTGGTTGAGGCTGCGAGTCGAGTCGTGGAAGTTCTTGTCGGTGAACAAGCGGACGTAGGTGCAGCTCTTGGTTTCGTCCACTTTGACAACCTGGAGAGTGTGGAAGTTTAAGAGGAAAAAAATGAAGGAAAAGAGGAGCACTTTATTGATATATCTTGCTCAATAATGTTTTGTAAAGTATCTGAAGTCAGTGTTATTTAATCTGACAGAAAGCAGTGTACCTTCATGCTACAGTCTGTGGTGTTGAGTACTTTCTCTCGAAGCCACTGGACGGCTTCTGGGGTCCAGGATCCGACGCTGACGGCAAGGTCTGCCAGGCAGCACTTCACAGCCTGCGGTGGGATCGCCACCAGATCCCGCAGGAACAGCGATGGGATCTCTCTCAGCTCAAACACCTCCACAGAAGCCTGAACGCCAACATCAACGAACAGGATGTCCAACACTCTGCTGCCATGAAGGTTGGTGATCTGAATTCGGGAACACGGGAAACGCATTCATCTAAAGTTTAAAAAATATCCCCACATCATCACGCTTTCAGGTCTGAGCTGAATGAAGGAGCAAAACCTGTGGTTCGTTTCCTGCAGGCAGTGTTTCCAGCTTACCTCAACACGGGACCATTTGCTTTTATAGCGAGCCAGGCATCGTTTCCCACAAAAGGGTCTGGATACTAAGAACTCTGATGTCACCTGCAACAAAAAAGATTTCACTACTGTGTGGACTAAAAACATCAGCTGTCATTCTTACACGTGACTCTACTTTCTAAGGATTTTTATGAATTGTGTGTCTGTTAGCTACTGTTTTATAACATTTCTCTGGTCCACCACTGTGAGGATATGCTGCTGTGATTTCAAACATTTAGGATTCTAACTTGTATTTGATATTAAAATTTCCTTCTCCATCCAATGATTTGGTAACATATTTGTAACTAGAAAGTCATCAGAAAAAAAAGAGCTTAATCGTTAACAAAATAAGCTGTTCTCTCACATCTGTTTGATCTTAACCATCCCTCTGGTAAACTTGAATTAATAATTAATTTAATCATATCTACTGTCTTAAATTTAGAAAATGAAAATTTCTGGAAAGGCCATGAGCAGACTCCAATGTTTTGTCGAAAAGCGGTAACACTTTGCAGCACAGCAAAAGGTACATCTAGGAAAGAACTCACTTCCTGTTGCTGATAAACTAAGTGCCTTAGCAATGGCTTAACTCCGGATTAGGTACATAATCTCAGTCTGTGGTGCTATCACAGCTTTAGTTACTGGACGTTTCAGCTTCAAACCCACAAAATAAGGCTGGCAGACATTTGTGATTCTAACTTTTAATGCTTGAATTGATAAAAGGACAATAAAACAGGAGTACAATGATAAAAAGGAGTGGGTAAAAATATGGATTCATCATTGGATTTTGTGACGATTTCTGTCTTAAAACTAGATTAATGTTTGTTTTTCAGGTGAAGTGTCTTGTTTTGGGTTTGCACATTTATCATTTAACTTAGTACGTTTTTTTGTTCAAAACGTTAATTTAATAAAAAATATATAAACCTGCTTTAAAACTGGTGTATCTCCTTTTGTGCTATGACAATTGCAATGTACATTCAATTCAATTAAAAAAATACTTCATTGATCCCAGAGGGAAATTAGGTATAACATATATATTTTTAATTTAATGTCAATTCTCTGATTTGATTTGATCCCTTGGCCAGTTTGTCGTATTTTTGTTAGTATTCGGTATTAGAACAAGTATTATTGTGCTTTATTTTCAGATATTTTCTCTAAAATGTTAACGTAACCATTTCTGTTTAAATGTGCAAGAAAATAAATACCTAAAAATGATCAACAGTGACTCTATTGAAGGGTTTGTGCACTTTTTATTATTATAAAATCAATATCAAAGCATTTAAAGCAAAATTAAACTGAAATGTTGTTAACTACACCCAGCACTAAAAGCTAGTGTGCAATTTTTAGTCATTTACATATATTATTTTTTATTCCTTATGGAGAAACTTGCATTAGAAATTCAGTTTTGGGAACATACAAGCTGCTTACCTGTGTGTGGAAGTATGTCTCTATCTTCTCCATGATCTCACTGAGCTTTGTGAGTCCTCTGGAAGGCAGCTGACAGTAAAAGTTCCCATCTGAGCAGACGCTGCTGACAGTTACGTTCATATAAGCACTGTTCGTCTGAGGACAAACACACGTTCAGTCGTTACCAACTCGTCCGTCTTCCAAACGCACACAAATCTCTCCTGTACCTGCAACGGGCTCGCTAACGTCTTGTCCTGCAGGGCCTGGATGCAGGCGGCGTTGATGTTCAGGTCGTCGTCCTGAGACGTGTCGTACAGGACAACAAGAGGAGGCTTTGTTCGTTCTAAGATCTCGGCCAAGAGGATCCGTCCGCTCGCCATGGTTCCAAACGTCTTCAGCACCGCGGGCTCCTGACAGAAGGGCTCCAGGCCTGGACCCCAAAAAAACAAACCTTTTTCTAATTTCTGTTCTTGTCTTTTTACAATACAGGATCGTCGTCGTGATTCAGACACTCACCTGCCAGTCTACACTTAGTCGCCTGAAAAGGCAGTTTGAAAAACTTCTCATTCAGCACAAACACTTTGTTTTTGCTGATCACCTCTGAGAAACCATGATCTACAAAGTAAACCTGCAGAACCGACAACAGAGAGATTATTAATATCTCCTCCTCATTCCCCACCTTTGGTTACTCTCCGTCACTGCTTACCTTGACTTTCTCTGAAAGGACCTCACAGATTTGCGCCCTCAGAACCTCCTCCTCCTCCTCAGCCCTGACAGCAACGAGTTGGCCGGATGTCGGCGACGACAGAGGAGTCGACTGGCTTCGGTCCAAGCCATAAAACTCCCTCATCTCGTCCTCCATGGACTCCAGCGCCTGGGAGTAACCTTCACCGATGTACCTGTTAGAGGACGAGACGCAGTCAGTGAGAGATATATAAATCTTTAAGGAAATTTACTGCACCGGTTTCACTTACCTGAGGATGACTTCATTGGTGTTGGCGGCCTCGATCACCAGAACAGATGGGTACTCCTCTTTGGGGATTTGCAGCGAAGGCACCTCTTGGCTGCTGAGCCTCCTTCCCACCTCTTTCTTCACCCTCAGCTCCTCCTCGCTTGTAGAGGAGCCTCTCCTCTTCTCATCCTCTCCACCTTCAGCGCTGCTTCGTCTGTACAGGATGGCCCTCTTGGGGTTGTCGGGCATTGGGTAGTCAACAGTACAAATGTCAGAGAGGAGGTCCAGGTTCTCCAGGACATGTCCAGGCAATTTAGTCTTGTAAAGAAATGGATAAAATAAAATCATTCAGAGCACCAGGTGAGTAAAAGATGCATGTATGAAGTTAGTACTGACTTTGTAAGTGTCCTGGAAGAGCTTGGGCAGTGCGTGGGCCCATAGACCGTTGCAGTATTTCACCAGCAGCTCCTCCAGTTTCTGCTTCAGGTCGGGGCTGAGGGTCGCAGGGGATGAAGGAGGGCTGGGAGACGAGGAGGAAGATGGTGGAGACTGAGACGACTGAGAGCCAGAGCGAGTCAGGTGAGTGTGGGGGCCTCTCTGTCGGGCCGAAGACTGAAAATGTTGATCTGAGCTTGGGTTTGAGGCTTCGGCAGAGGAGGCGCTGGGGTTTGATTTGGGGATGTGTGAGGGGGTGGAGGTGGTGGTCTGTTCTTTAGCAGGGTACAGGAGCAGCTCAGATGGGCTGCTGCTGCAGGTTTTCTCTACCTGGAAGGAAAAAAAGTTTCACTTGGTTTGGGAACAAAATAGAGTTTCATGTCCTTTTAGGAATTTTTATGTTTATAATCCTACTGTTGACTTAAAAAATGTTGCCTCGTCAGAATGGTCAATTCCAACTTTCTATTCATTATTAATTGTAGCATCTTCTTGCAATGCTATTATTAGTGACTTGAGTTTAAATTAGGGACTTAACTCTCAAACAGAAACTTTACTTTCAATGATTATATGTTCTCAGAAATAGTGTGGTGGTGTACCTCAGGGCGTATTATTAGGGCGTATTCTTTGGTCTCATTCTGCTGTACCTTTTCTACAACGCAAAAAATATCTTCACATCTATCTCACAACTTGTCTTTCTAATATTAAATTCTAGTTGAGTTTCAGGGATTTAAATGATGGAATTTAGTGTTCTTTTATTCTACCAAGTAGGTTGATTGAGAAGTAGGTCAATTGAGAACCAGTTCTCGTTAACAATGGCAACTTGGCCAAGAGGCAGAAATAGGATTTCTCAGTAAAACTGTAATCCATATGTGGTTTAAAATGTATACTATTAGATACAAGTTCATAATCAAAACAACTACATACAGTACATATGTGGGTCCAGGTGTCTAGGTCTTTGAGGGCCTCTGAAGGCAAGTCCTGTTTGTAAAGGTCTCTGTAGATCTGAGGCAGTTTGGACAGCCAGAATCCATTGCTGTACTTTCCCAGGATCTCTCTGATGCGGCCCTGAACCTGCTGAGGGTTGTACGGTTTTCCTTTTCCTGAACCAAAACTCTCATTTATATTCAATGGTGCTGACAGGAAAAAAAAGAAAAACATTGTTATAAATAATATTTGCAATCAATAAATCAATAAAAATATATATATATTTAGGAAAACCATTTACAGTACAGTATAAGTTGAGGTATAAGTTGAAAGTTTTCCAGTTTTGATCTTGACAAAGTACTTGTGTAAAGGACAAAAAGCTTCATAAAATGTATTTTTAGTTAAAATGTCAGCATGGCCTACTTACGACCAGCCTGTTGGGGGTTTCTTGCAAGGTGAGCATGCACCTCCTTCTGAAAGCGTGACGGGAGGGTCATCCTCTTCTCTGGTCTGTACACAAGAGAACCGAACACAGATGCAAACAACATTACAGTTCATCTAAATACAAAACAGGAAGGAAAATCTGAAATATTGTAGTGTCTGTAGTCTTGTTCCTCCATAAACAAAGCTTCAATTACAGTATGTTTTAAGAAATCAGAATAACTTGTATATAGATTAATTTCTTCAAATAATAAAGTCTTTGAGGTTACAAGGAACAAAATGTTCTGGTCAAAATGTGGTTTAAGTCTAATAGATTGGAGGAAAATGGGGGATTTTATTCTCCTTTATATGTCAAGTTCAAACATTTTACTTGTTAAAGTGTTCATTGGGATTTCTAGGAATGAATATTTGGAATTTTACATTTATAAGCAAAGGAATCTCAACTTTTGTGTAGAACCCATTTCATTCCCAAAGCAGAGACATTAGTTTAGATCAGGTATGTCAGTATGATTTTAACGTAGAGCCACTTGGGCATTATGGTGGTTTTCAAAGGGCCAGTTGTAATAAACTTTTATGTTTCATGTTTAACTTTGACTAAACAGTAAAGTCCCGTTCCTCATCGTACTGCTACGGCTGAGCCCCACTAACAAACAATAATTGAGCTCTATGTGGTATTACCTGCATGGAAACAGCATTTTAACCTCTTATATACACTGAAAAATATGACTGACTAAATGTGTAATAAATAATACAGAAATACTATTAAAGGAGACCTAATATGGGGGTCCTAGAACAAGTTAGGATCCATCTGTGGGCTATACAAAACATGTTCATTTGATTTAATTCACAAAATTAATCACAGATAATGAAATTTTACCTTTTCACTTCTGCCTGTTCTTCAGATCTATTCAGAACTTGCTGCTTTGCATGAGTTGCTATGGAAACCCCCTCCCAACCGTATGTTTACATTAGCTCCGCGCCCTGCCAGAAGTTTACTTTCAGTTTCCTTTCAGTTTCTTTTCAGTTGAAACTACTATTTTTCCAAAGTAGTTCATGGACAAATTATTTACGCAAATTTTCTTTAATATTGCTAGAACATTGCCATCAAAAATAAAAATTTAATTAATCCACACATTTCTGTTCTCCATGACTGTTCTAAAACAGCAGAACCGTACTATGAGGAAGTGGGCGGAGTCTCTGCTTGGGTTACCAAGGAGAGGAGCTGGGCTCAGGCTGGGGTGGGCTGGAGTGAGACTTGTGACATCACAAGTCTCACTCCAATAGTGGTGCTTGAAAACAGGTCATTTCAAGACACAGAAAAATACATTTACCTCTGAGTGCATTTTTCTTTTGGTGCTTGGACTGTTTTTAGAAGCAGTACAGACCCAAATGTAAGTTTAAAAAAAAACCTGAAAAAAGTGAATTTTGCATATTAGGTCCCCTTTAAGTATTGAGCTGTGGCACGTTTTGAATTCTGAACACTTGCACTTTCTGACAGGAAATTTCCCTGCATAATCAACATGCATTATGGTAACTGTAGTTTATGGTCAATGTTGGTTTTAAAGCAGCTTATGTGAAGACATTAATAGAGGGTTCAAGGAAACACCGTTACTCACAACTAAAAGTTCAGGGGCAGGGAAAGTATTATCTTACACCTTTTAAATCTGCTTATTGTTTTGCATTAAATCATAAATTTAAAGTTGACCAGGGATATGAAAAAAACATTTTCATATTAAAGTAAAAAATAAATGAATACATTGTTTGTTTGTTTTTTTTGTTTGTTTGTTTTTTGACAGGCTGAAAAGAAGTCACCCTCAGGTCGCATTTGGCCCACAGGCCTCAACTTTGACACAGGTGGCTCAGATGCTTCAAAATTCCCAAAGAGACTAATTTTATTTGTTTTATGTGATTATGTCAACCAGACTTTTCTCATGTATTTTAATGATGGTTTGTCTTTTTTTTAACCGCACACACAAATGATGATGATGTTGGCGTGTCCACAGAAAGATCTAAAGGGATACAGAGAGATGTGCTGATTCACTCTGTACCGGTTTAGAAATGTTAATCTACAGGAGAATAGAGGAGGGATTAAAGAGGACTCGCCTCCCCATCAGGAGCACTGGGCTCGTGTCCCCTGCCAATGGACCAGGACTTCCATCCTGGTGCCCCATTGTGCTGCAAAGGGGTCAGCAGCACACTGGACCCCACAGTGAGGGAACTGGTAACTGCTTTCAATGTGAATATTTGGAAATAACATCATCTTGATTCTTTAAGTATTATAAGGAGATGATCTGAATCAAGAATGAATTAGACATTAAAAGACTTCAGAGGCAGTATGAGCTGATGGACAAACAAGAAGCTTAAATATAATCCAAAAGTTACAGTTTTATAAAACAAATGTTCGCTAGTATAAAATCTTAACTTTAATTTTAGGGAGTTCACATCCAAGCAGGAACATGTGTTTATAACATATGTGTAGAATTAAGGACTTCAGTTTTTTTTTAAATTATTATTTCTTCATTATATAAGCATATACAAACAGTATACTTTACTTCAAATGGAGTATCTGGAACCTTTTTTCAAACCTAAAGTGGGTTAACAAAGTCTCGATATCCTGCAAGTAAAACATGCAAAATAATTCAAATTTGTTACAAAAGGAGGAATAAACTGAATTCTTTCTCTCTGCAATCGTCTATGAGAAAACCATCCTTGACTCACTTCTCTGCAGGTACGGTTCCTTTCTTGTTAGCTGTGTTCTGGTTAGAAAACTTGTTTGAATGCCCCCAAATCCTTCCTTCCGAGTGGCCATCCCTTATGTCTCTCGTCTGTCTGAAGTCTCCATGTCCCGACCCACGGCCGGCGCCTCCCCCTCCTCTACCTCCGCCACGCCATCGGTGGTTTGGCTGCCTCAGAGAGATTTGAGGTTTTGCTAAGAGGAGAAAAACAGACAGACAGAACGCTAATAAGACTAAATTTCAAAAGCGGGAGCCCAGCCTGAATCAGCTGAATCTGATTCTGAGACGAGAGTTTCTGTCAACGGGACAGGCTCAATGAGATCAAAGGAAACGTTACCTTAGGTACAACAATAAAGGAAGATAGTCCACATTAAATTTTATTTTTATTTAATAATGTTGGCTTCTGATTAGCTGTTCAAAAACTTTTAACACATTGCTACTGTGCAAATTGTTCCATTAGACATTATTTGATAAACATTTACCTAAACAGTAACAACACTTTAGGCTGTTTAGTTTTTATATATTTTAAAATATATATAGTCACACAAACGACATCAAACCCCTCAAAGCATACCGGGTAATTTCGTTAGGTTTACTGGTCCAAGCTCTTATCCACCCTGAAGGTTAATTTTGGACAATATCTGACGATTGGTTCTTTTAAATGAAACCAGAGAGCGTTGACAGAGAGGAGAAGGTAGAAATGACTCAGCCTGTAAC